AAATAGTGAAATCTATAAATTTCATTAAAATACAGTGGTGAAAATTTATAAAATCTGAGGTACTATACAATTTGATGACTTTACTTTTATTTTTTGCAGGTATTGCATGAATAAGATATAAATGAATAAAATGTGAAAATCAAATAATAAAACAGGGCCAAGTCAAATGATTCCACATAGGAGGTGCTCAATGAACTTTTGCTGAATTAGTGAAATCTCTTCAAAATGAGTAAAGGCAGCGATTCATCAGTGACTCAACAAATGAGTAAATAATTTACCAATAAATGAGTAAATAACATTTTTACCATAATGACTGTGCAATCATTTCTTTCTCTCAGCCATATCAAACCCATAATATTTAAAGTAAAATGTTTTCACTGCACCTTGAGCTTCATCATGGAATCTTGACATAACTTGTCTCCCCGAGCTGCTGAAACCTCGTCAATCCCGATCAGTTTGGCCTTGTACCGGACCCCTTCACCTTTAAACCTCTTTATCAGAGTGGCTTCGCTGCGATCCTGACCTAAAAACAGAGGAAAGCAGGATTCAGAGATGGAGGTGTTCAGGGCCTGTTGGCTTTGAATACCCACAGCACCGAAGTTGGCTCACTTGCTTTACTGTGTTCTAGGAAAGACAAACAGTAGACCAAGTAGAAAAAACACGGCAGTACTCCTGGACACAAATTTTGGCTCCCCTTTCAAACCCTCGGGCAAACTGCTTCTGCTCTCTCAGCCTTTGTTTTCTCAGACAGAAAAAAAGGAGTTAAGAATAACTAACCCCAAAAGGGCATTGAGGTAAATATATCAGGCAACATGTGTAAAGTATCCAATGCAGTGTTTGTTACACACTAGGTTTTCAATAAAGGATAATAGCCCGCTGACATTCTTAGCACTGAGCTCCAATAGCATTTCTAGCGTTTAATATGACTTTGGCCAGAATCCAAGATTCTCCTTATACCCAATTCCATGGGTTGTTTTATAGTGAGACTCGAGAGTAATTGCTTTGTATCAAGTAATGACCCACGACAATTATTAAAAAAAATGGTTTTACAATCTCTCTTCTGCCAACTCATGTGTGTACTAAAATAGACTTCCACACTACTTGATATGGAAGTAGTGTGGAAGTCTACAGGCTTGCAACAGGCTTTCCCAATAACATACTATTATTAACATAATACTTTGCTAAGACACATCAGCCAGAAGTTCAAACATATGCACATAAAATATGAGCAGTAAAATAACTGTGGACTTAGTACTTATGTATATAACATGTTTTATAAACTGTATCCCCATTCTTCACAATAAGCCAACCATATTCATTTCCCAGATGACCAAGATGAAGGTCAGAGAATCCAGGTAGCTATCCAGGTTTACATAGTCAGAAAAAATATGATTACATAGGAATTCAAAACTCTAACCTCATCAAACTTGCATCAAACTAATCACAGTTTAAGGCATTGCAAACTGCTCTTTATCTCCTAAAACATCATCAACTTCAACTTCTAATACCCCTCTCTCATGCCTTCCCTCAACAGTCAGACACTTAGAGCTGAAGGCATTAATGATAACTCAGCCCATTTCACTCTATATATCCATATCATGTGCAAAACTAAGGCATTTCCATAAGGCTGGGTTGAGAATTATTTGAGAAAATGCTTAAAATAGGGAAAAAACCCACACACAGCAGCAATAGCTAACCATTGTACAATACTTTTCAATAGACAAAACATGACTTGCATTTCATTCATTCATCTCTCACGGAGCATCTTTGTGCCAGATGCTATTACTCACTGATAACAGGTACCAGTAAATGAGACAAAGTCTATGCCCATGGAAGCTCAAGTTTCTGGTGACTGAAAGTAAAAATCCATTGTGCTGGATATGTAAGAAGGTACACACTTTAGAGTCAGACATCCTCATTTAAACTATGACTCTCTCCCTTGCAAACCAACTAACCTATCTGCTGAGCCTCAATTTCCTTGCCTGTTGCATGAAGATTAAATTTCTATTTCCAGAGTTGTTACGAATAGTAACTTAAATGAGATGGTAGCGCAAAGCATGTATTCAGGTGTTAAGTTTTCTATCACAGGTAGCTGCCACCAGTTTGGAGGCCCAGTAAAAGGAGCATGTGGAAGATTCCCTATGAGGGTAGAAGAGCACAAAGGAGGAAGGTCTGCAGGCCAGGCCTGACCTATGATCCCCAACCCCCAGTTGGTGTTTTTCCCACTTCATCTTTGCTGACTCCTAGCATATTCTAGCCTTTGAATAATATTCCATAAAGCAAATATAACACATGAATGATTAGTGAGAAATTGTAATCAATGTAAAAATTAAGTCTCCAGGGTTTCAGTGAGGGCAGATGTCAGAGACTGAAGCTACGAACAAAGAGGAGAACATTTGCCATGATATACCCTCTATGGACATCTAGCTAAACAACAGGGCCCGTGGTACTACAGGTCACCTTCCCCTGTCTCTTACCCTTTAAGACAGCATCAATGGACCTGGAGAGTATTATGCTAAGTGAAATAAGCCAGTCAGAGAAAGACAAATATCACATTATCTCACTTACATGTGGAATCTAATGAACAATATATCAATATATGTACACCAACTTGTTTAGTCCCAGAAAAAAATCTTAGAGGTGGGTACTATTATTCAGGTTTTACAGATTAAGCAACTTGTACAAATTCACTAAGTGGGACCTGAATCCAGACCTATTTGATGTTGGAGCCCACACTTGTGGTTTTGCTTGTGTTCAGTGTTTTCAAGCCCTTTCTCTTAGTCACTATGATGAAATTTTTCTCATCTCCCCAACTTCCTATAAAGCCCCATCTTTTGCCTGGCCCCAAACGGTTGATACTCAGTACACTGTCAGCATTAAAATCCCATTGTAAAGCCCTGGTCAGTGTAGTTCAGTGGGTGTAGCATCAGCCTGAGCACCCAAGGGTCAGAGATTTGATTCCCAATCAAGGGCACATACCTGGGTTGCAAATTCGATTGGGAGGCAACTCATCAATGTGTATGTCTGACATCAATGTTTCTCTCCCTCTCTTTCTCTCTGTGTTTCTCTCTCTGTCTCTGTCTCTCTCTCCCCCTCCCTCCCTAACACCCTTCCACTCTCTCTAAAAATCAATAGAAAATTATCCTTACATGAGGATTAACAACAACAACAAAAACTTCATTGGAAAAACAGCTTAAAAATGGAACAGTTTCCAGCCTGAACGTCATGTCTAAAAACTGCCCATGAGTCAGACACAAAGGCAGCCGCAGGAAACATTTGTCAGGGCCGGAGCTCTGCCAAGTAGGAGGCTTCATAAGAGGAGGCAGAGCCAGATCAGGTGAATAAGGGCAGAGATTAATAAGAAAATATTAGGCCATTTAGAGGAAAGTAGGGAACCCAATTTAGATTAGGACCCAGGGCCAAGCTAATTTGTTTGAAGGGCACTTATGCGCTAGATAATCCAGTTTCTCATTAAATACTCCACCATTAAAAGGGTAATTTTTCATGATCACATCTTGAGCAAGGTCTCAGTTATATTAGTTAAGAAATAAATAACAGCTATCAGAGTCATAAGGCCGTACCATCAGAGGCACAACCTATTTGAGGGTGTTAGACAGAGAGTCCGTTTTCATGCATCCCAAGTCATCATGAATCCCCAACTTATTTCACTGAAAGCCCCACTGACCCTGTGCTTCAGGATGGACAAGAAAAAGGCCACATATTTACAGAAAAACATTAACATCATCGTTATCTATTATCAAGCATGGACTAAGAGTTTTACCTACAGTCTGCCATTTAATCCTTATATTGCTCTTTGAGCTAGACTCTGTAATGAGCCTTGATTACAGGGGATGACACCAACACTCAACATCAACAGCACAGCCTGATTTTTTTTAATAACTGCTTTATTGACATACTAGAGGCCCAGTGCATGAAATTCATGCATGGCGGGGGGCAGGGGGAGGGTCCCCTCAGCCCAGCCTACACCCTCTCCAATCCAGGACCCCTTGGGAGATGTCCAACTGCCAGTTTAGGCCCAATCCTGGGGATCAGGCCTAAATCATCAGTCAGACATCCCTCTCATAATCCTGGACCACTGGCTCCTAACCGCTAACCTGCCTGCCTACCTGATTGCCCCTAACTGACCCCCCTGCTAGCCTGATCACTCCTAACTTCCTCTGCCTGCCGGCCTGATCACCCACTACCTCCCACCCCCCTGCCAGCCTGGTTGCCTCGAACTGCACCCCCCCCCGGCCTGGTCGCCCCACATAGCCTGTTCGGTCGTCCATTTGGTTGCGATGGTCACTTAGGCTTTTATATAGATAGATAACTCCCATCCCAATTCAATTCTCCTTTTTAAAGTATACAATTCAGTGGTTTTAGTACATTCATAGTTTAACAACTATCACTACTAGATAATTTCATAACATTTTCATCATCCCCCAAAGAAGCACTGTATTCCTTAGCAATTGCTCCCTATCTCCCCCAAACCCACCAGACCTAGGCAACTACTAGTCCATGTTCTTTCTCCATAAAAGTGCCTATTGTAGGGGCAAGTTGTATTTCATATAAATAGGGTCATACAACATGTAGACCTCAACATCTCATTTTCAAGGCTACTACACGTTATAGCAAGTATTCCAACCTCAAGTCCTTTTTTTATGCTGAATAATGTTTCATTGTATGGATATACCACATCAATTGATGGACATTTAGGTTTTTTCTACCTTTTGACTATTATGAATAATGTAGCTACAAACATTTGTGTATCAGTTTTTGTTGGGGTGCAGTTTTCAATTTTTTTTGTATTATACACATGAGGGAAATTGTTGGTAACTCCATGGTTAACTTTTTAGGACATATCCAACCTTTCTTCCAAAGTGGCCCTACCAGCTTACAACTTCACCTGCCAAGTAGGCAGGTTTCCATTTCTCTACCAGGTGTTCTTGCCAACACCCCTTTCTGTCTTTCCTGCTTTAGCTATCCTATGGGCCTTAGGTGACATTTCATCAGGGTTTTTTTTTGTATTGCATTCTCCTGAGGACAATTGCTATTGAACATCTTTTCATGTGCTTCTTGTTCATTTGCATACCTTCTCTGAGGAAATGACTATTCAACTCCCACAGCTGGAATTTGAATCCAAGTGTTATACAAACTTCCATGCTTTTAACCATCATGCTTTCAACCATTAGGGCACGGGGCCTCTGGTGACCTCACTAGATACTCTGCTATAGCATTTGCCACTCTTCACCTTGTGTCACAGCTATATGAGCAGATGTCTTATGGACGAGCAGGCACACCTCATTTTCAGAAAGGGTCTCCTTGAAGCTTCACTGCCACCTTGGTGACAAAGCTGACACCCATTCAGAAGAGGAGGGGACTGGGGCACAGGGAGGTGAGGCCACTGGGGCAAGGCCACGTTGCTAGTAATGGGGGTGCAGTTGCCTGACTCGTTGGAGTCAGAAGGTGTTGCAGTAGCTCTGGGACTTCGTGTGTATGTGTGTATGTGTGTGTGTGTGTGTG